TATTGCAATTTTGTTGATTGACGTCATTTTCAATACAATTTTCTATATTTTTTTATTTTTCACTTTTTTGTTGTTAGATTATACAGTGCAATAATTTTCAAGGTAAGGTAAGGTTTTTTTAAAAAAACAAATAAAAAATAGTTTAAATAAAAAGTTTTAAATTTTGATAAAATTATTTGTAGATTTCTGAAAAAATCTAGACCGCACAATTAACCAGATTTTTAATGACAACTGACGAGAGTTTGAATTTGAATCTTTTTTATTATCTWCTCGTTTAAAACCTATCTAATAAAACTTTATAATATTACTTAATAAAATGACTTAATCCATTTCATAAAATAATTTGTTAATATATTTTTGGTACAAAATATTTTTTTATTGCAATTATAAGTATTTTTCACAGCAATAATGCAATCAATTTTATCACATTTTTAGTGCAACAACATCCGAGCCTTAGTTATTACATTTAATTAATAACAAATGCTTTATCAATACAAAATATCAACAAAAATTATATCATATTATTTGAATGTAAATATGYCGATACCAATTTTAAATCATGACAAGTATAACATAGAACATACATAATTATATGGTATTTGGACAACTTTCCTTCCCWCTATGAACAAATATAGTTATTTTTAATTGGGGGCTGTAGAATAAATATACATAATAATGAGCTTGGTAAATGAAAAAAAAAAAAATGCGTTATGGATACTTTTTTCCAATTTAAGAGGAAGATCGTTAATAATAAAGACTATTAACAACAAATTGCTATATGATTTGGAAAATTGTGTCGGGGGCATGCAGCTGTTTATTCATGTGTATATTGTGATGAAAATATGAAATTAATAAGAACTAAAATAGATTGAAAAAAAATTATGTTGAATAATTTTGCACATTATRTTAAACAAAAATTTYTTAAGAGGACGCTACACCCGCATGTGTTGTCTCCGTCTTATACGCATACTACATACCACATTTTCATTCGCTAGATTCAATAGTGTGCTGTTAGTTTTGATATTAGAGTGAATTGAGCCATCATCAAAGTTTTAGGTAGGAGCATTATCTGTGTTCTCATGTTGGGTTTTTACGATATTTAAATTTTTAAATGAGTTATAAGCATGTTAAGTGTGAATATTTGAAAATTCACATAACTCATGTAAAAATTAAAATATCGTAAAAAAACCAACATGAGAACACAAATAATGTTCCTACCAAAAAGTTTGATAATGGGTCAATTCACTTTAATATCAAAACTAACAGCACAATATTAAATCTAGCAAATGAAAATTTGYTATGTAGTATGCGTGTAAGACGTAGACGACACATGCGGGTGTAGCGTCCTAACACATTCAAAGCCTTCCTAATTGTAAGTGTGATGTCAGTGACTAATTTCAAAAACAACCAACTTTTTTTTTATATTTGTTCTCAATGGCCACATCAAATTTCAGATATTTACAATAAATAAATATTAACTAAGTGAAATTGAAATATGTTAGAAATCAATGAATAAATTGCTTGATGCAAAAGAATACATATGATGCATAAGCGGCAAGCGCATTGCTGGCCAATTTTTTTAWAATGTTAAAATGTTGCTATGATGCTGGCGTTTAGTGTGCTAAAAATTGATTTACGCTGGAATCGTATAAAAAATCTAGAAACAATGAAAACAGTTTTCAAGGAAGTATCACAAACAATTGAAATATAGAAGTATTAATGAATTAGATAAATTAAATTATTTTACTTTTTTTTTATCTTTTTTAGTGGAATTATTCCATTTGGAGAGGGGGAGGTGGAAACCCCTATGATTACATTATATACAGATTGATCCATTTAACATAAGACACTTTTTTTTTTTTGAAAATGTTGAAATTTAATGAAATCTAGGTAGGTACATATAATTAATATTCCTAATATTTTCACACTTTTTATTATATGATAAATATGAATCAACTTTGGATTTTTAAATGGTAACACCAATATTTAATATCAGCAAATTATAAAACTATTTTTTTTAAGAACTTTTGCGTTTGAATTTTTTATTTTGATTCAATACATTTTGAGATACAGCCAATTCAAATATGATATGGGAGAAGTTTTTTGTGTTTGTTTACACTTGTTCTTATTAATTGTTGGTCATTCATATAAATCAATAACCTTTGAATCAGAGTAATCAGGACGGCTTATTAATACTTATTACATTACACACGTCATAGATATTAGATAATAAAGACATGGATGGGATGATATAATGTCTTATACTCTTAT